CAAGTTCAAGGCTAGCCTGGACTAGTGAGACCTTGTCTCAAAACCCACGCATGCTCACTGGCACTGTGGAAGGGGCAGGACTGGCAAGAGACCAATTAGAAGCCTCTGTGGTCCAGACACAAGGGTTTAAGATGATGTTGCAGCGATAGAAGGCAGTTGGAGGAGATATTTCCAAGCAAGACTAGCTGGAGCCCACTGCCAACAAATAATAAAAAGTAATATTATCAAGGATTGACAGTTAGTGAAAATGTAATATGTACCAAGCACTGTTTCTTTGCGGGGGGGTACTGGGGATTGAACCAAGAACCTTGCACATTTGAGGCAAGCACTCTACCACTGAGCTATAGTCTCACTCTTGTTGTTTTATTTATATTTTTTCAGGGATTGAACTCAGGGCCTTCTGCTTTCAAGGCAGAGGTAGCACCACTGAGCTAAATCCCCAGCCTTTTTGTCTTATTTTGAGACAGGGTCTTACTACATTCCCTAGGCTGGCCTCAAACTTGCAATTTTCCTGCCTCAGCCTCTCCAATAGCTTGAATCATAGATGTGCGCCATCACGCCCAGCACCAAGGATTATTTCTAAGCACTTTACACTGATTCACGCATTTAACTCTCATAGCAAACACAGGGGTCGGTACTGCTGTCTCATCTTACAGCAGAGGAAATGGAGGCACAGAAAGATTATGCAACACAGCTGGGTTCCGTTGTGGGCCACTGTGCCCTTAACCTCCGCACTGCACGCTCTCTGGAGGGGTCAGAGAGGCAGGGAAGAGGGTGGGTGGGACCAGGGTGAGCTCTCAGGTTGCTACCCAGTGTTGCAAGAAAGTCATTACTGTCACCAATCACCCACGGGTCCCTGGGTCCCCGCGGGAGCGGCTTCATATACTCAGCTACGGCACACAGCGAAATGTACAATAACATCCGGGCATGGCACCAGGCCCCGCGTCTACCACACGCCAGTGAAAATAAACCTCCCTGTCCAAACAGCGCAGTTAGAAGTGCCGTATTTTACAGGAGCACAGACACTTACTTGGCATTAAAAATAGACACGTTGGGCTGCCTCACAGAGCTGGGCAAAAGTTGGGCGATTTCCAAACGGAAATGCAGATGGATGGGGTGAGACCCCCTTAGCCTGACTCAGCTATTTAAAGAGCCCAAATGGAAAATTACCGGGCCGCAGCTCATGCATCTGTCAGACAAGACCATCTAAGCTGTGACCTTCGGTGGAGTTAGGAACTGGAGTCCTGGGATGGACCCTGGAGAGCAGGCAGCTTCCTACAGCACAGAGGGCCCAGCACTGTGAGGCCGGTTGGCCCTTTTGCTCACTCTCACACCTTAGTAATAAGGGAACCAGGAGTGGTTTTTCCCAAAGGCTTAGAGAACTCTGGCGAGAGCTTTATTTTATGTTAATTAATTAATTAACCTATGCAGTACTAAGAATGGAATCCCAGGGCCTTTGCATTGAGCTACATCTTCAGTCTTTCTTAAAAAAAAAAAAAAAAAAATTTAAATTATGAGACAGGGTCTTGCTAAATCTCTAAATTGCTCAAACTACACTCTAATTTGTAACCCTCCTGCCTCAGCCTCCCAGAGGACTGGGATGACAAGTGTTCACCACCATACCGGGTTCATCAAGAGATCATCTTAGCCTTTGAAGTCAGACACATTGTTAAAGACAGGCAAGCCCAGGAAGTTCTCTAAACGAGCAGTAATGGTGAAACTTGGAAGACACCGAGAGTCCAAACTGCAGCCCCAAACCCACTTATTTATCACAAAGTGCCAACACTGCCCGTAGGTGCACTGTTGTCTGATGCTAGGCTGCTGGGGCAATGGGGGCAGCTTGCCCCGGGCGTGCAGCCAGAGGGCTCTGTGCGACCGCTGCGGCACGCGTGCCATAGGTCTGCCGCCACTGCCCTAGCGTGCCTCCTGGGATTCTGCTGAAAAAAGGAGCCGAGGCCCAGCATAACGGAAGAGTGGGTCCTGCGGGAGGGGCGAGAGGGGCCATAAGTACTAGGGGAGACAGGACTGGTTGCTACACACGGAATAACCCGACTCGCCCAGTATCCCGCAGTGAGCAGACCAGGGCACCTCTGCTGTGCTCACTCTGCCCTCAGGATCTACCACCTGTCTCAATCCCAACACAGAAAAGGAAGTCGTGACAAAAGCTCAGAGCCTCGGGGTAACTGAGGGTGGCAGGTGAAGCTAGGCTCAGTGACCCACCCGAAACCCCAGCACCCTGGACAGCCAAGGCAAAGGGAGAGCAAACTCGAGCCCATAGCCTGGGCAATTTAGCAACTTAGTGAGAACCTGTCTCAATAAATAAATAAGATAAAAATAAAATTTTAAAAAGGCTGAGATGTTGGCCAGGGATTTAGCTCAGTGGCACCACATCTGCCCTGCAAGCACGAGGTCCTGAGTTCAATCCTCAGTACAAAAAAAAAAGGCTGGGATGTAGCTGAATGCAGAAGCCCTGGGTTCGACCCCTCCTCGTACTGCAAATTAATTAAGATGTAGGGATGTAGTTCTGCGCAAAGGCCCTGCGTTCAATCCCCAGTACTGTAGGGAAGGGGGGGAAAAGTGAGGAGTCTAATTCCCCAACTGACCCATGTGCAAGTTTATCACACCTCAAGAGAGAAAGATGAGCTTTGTTTTAAATGATTTTATTAAAAATTGTACCAGTTGATGGGGAAATATATACACACATGCACATAAACGCATGTGAAGAGCATAAAGCCAAATACTCTGTACAGATTACAAAGTAATGGGTCCCCATTCCTCTCCCTGTCCCAGGGGCAGAATGCCCAGACACCAGGGCAGCTAACCTGGGGATGAATGAAATGCTACATCTCACTGGGTCTCCCCCAGCAGCCCCTGTGGACCCAGGGAGGGGTAGGGAGAGGCACTGGACACCTGCACAGAGGGGCGGGCAAGTTCTGAGCACCTAGGCCAAGGCTGGACCACTAAGGGCGCTAGTCCGCCAGGATGCAGCCCACAGTAAATCCTGCAAGCTTGGGAGGCTCACAGGTTAACCCCTTCCTGCTGGGTCAACCAGGGTGGCCTCCAGGGGTCCTCATCTTCACAGAGAGACCCTGCAGAGCCGCAAGACTTGAGCCTTCTGCTGCTCTGGGCTCTCCTGATCCCCACCTCCCCATCAAGTCCCCAACAAGACAAGCTCTCTTGGACAGTGTGCTTCTTACTCATGGGACAGTCACATCGGCCTCACAGCCCTTCCTGGAAAGCTTCAGGACAGGAGCCCTGGCTGGACCATCCCAACAAGCCCTTCCCTGCCATGCCCAGGCTCAGGTGGGGGACAGCAGGACTCAGCCAGACTCTGGACACAGCCCCACTCCCCTGGGGGCTGAACAGGGATCCTGGGAGTAACGTTTCTCCACCTCTGGCAGCGCCTGGGAAGAGAGGGGTAGCTGTCCAGCAGCCAGACAGAAACAGTCAAGGCAGGGGCAGAGGTCTGGCCGTGAGCTCCGGCCTCACCGGCAGGAGCCAGTGTTGGCCTGGTGTCTCTCTGTTATGGCTGCCACTCCTAGGAAGCCTGGGGATTTTGAATCAAAAGGGGTGTTTGGACCCTGCATATCAGGCTCCTTTTGCTCCAGGACAGCCCAGCACTGAGGCCTGGGTTTCTAGCTCTCTCCTCACCTTACCCCTTAGCACTCTACAAAAGCCCACTTGCCTAGGCTGGCTACAGGTCAGGACCCAGGTCAGACTCTCCCTCCCTCTCAACCTGAGTCTCCACCTCCTGACCAGGGAGGGCTGGCTCTAGTGGGGGATGGGAAGCAGGGGGAGGGCATCTCCTGAGGCTGGACTTGGGGAGTGGAAGGAGCAGGGCCTATTACACAGCCAGCCTGGGGGAATGTACCCTCCTGGGGCTTCCTTACTTCCCACCTCAATGCTGGGCCAGCGCATTGCCACTATCCCCAGCCCACTTTGAGGACTGCACTTTTAGGAAGGAGGAATAGGAGGAGGCTTAAGTTTTACATGGCCGGCCTAAGACAGTGACTTCCTTTCTGGCTTGGCACCTCGCAGGAGACAGTGCCATGAGATTGACTTTCGCCTGGCTGCAGGCTGGATGTTCTGCTGTGCTCTGTTCTCAGGACGGGATGTGGGACAACCAGCCTTGCCCGTCGGGAGCTCCCGAGCTGATGACTTTGCCTCAGCACTGAGGCGGGAAGCCTGCCAAGAGGGGCTAAAGTGGCTGGTTTTGGGGGCATCACGCAGGCCTCCACCAGCAGCAGCCTGCGCAGCCTGGATCAGGGGAGGGAAGACAACTTGCGTCCTCCCAGTCACCACATGGTGTGGAGACCACTAGGAAGGCTGGGTCTCACAGGGGTCAGGGTGTCCCAGGGCCACTCTCACATCGTTCCCTGGGCCCCTTCTCCTTGTAGCAGGAACCCATCTTCTTAGCAGGCCAGCCACAGTACACACCCTGAGAAAATGATTCTGGCCAAGAAGAGGTAATAACTCCAATCATCTGAGCAGAACAAAACAAAGGCGTACGCACTAGGTAAGGTCCTTCTCAGAACCACACTGTGGGCACATATGGTACCTCTGTGCAAATAAGGAAAGGCAGCCCTAACGGAGCAGCTGCAGCCCCACTTCAGTGCACACAGATTAGAGCAGAGAACAGGCAGGATTTTAGCCTCCTTTAGCTCCCTCTGCAGGTCCCCTCAGGCAGTGAACAACCTGCCCAACTGTACATCCAGATCAGTTGTCCTTCAACAGTACTAAAGACTGCATAACTAGAGGAGTTTGGACCTGTTCAGATTTGAAAGTCTACTCTGGACTCCTCCTGCAATTTTCTTGAGTAGACCCAGGGTCTTCTTTGCCTTTCTTTGGGCTTCGCTTCAACTTTAGCACCAATGTTGTCTTTTCTCACATATGTAAAAACTGTAATTTGACTTCTAGGTATCTGGTTAACAGATTCCTTGTGTCTGCTATCAGAGCTGCCAGACCAGCTGCTTTAAATTCCCTCCATCAGTGCCACAGCAGAAAGAGAAGGGTGAAGTTCAGAGGCAGCTGGGACCTTGCTGAGCTCCAGAACATGCCCTGCCAGCCTAGCTGGAAGCCAGAGGAACACAGGAAATGTGTGCCTAGTTTTGACAGTCTCATGAGCTGACCATCGTCTATTACTCTAAAAGTCACTTTTCCACTGACAAAGCCACTGTCCTTGCTTCTTGCTGTATCCCAGGAGGTGTGAAAAAAGGCATGCGGGCTCAGCGGGGAGGAGGTCTATTTTCCAAGGAGACCAGGGTCTGGGGTCCTGTGGGGCCAGACTTGCATCAGGGAGCTGGCCATCACATCTCCCAGCCCTGGGGCGAGCCCGCCCCTTTATGTCCCTCAGCGTGACTCGGGGTAGAACACAGTCCAGGTGGCTGGGATTTTTGGAAACGGAGCTGACAAAGGCACAAGCTGCTGGGTGCAGCACGGTGACTGGCTTTGACTCATCTGTGGCTGACAGCCAGGCAGCAGAAGTGGCAATGTTTCTGCAGCTAAGGACCAATCCTGGGGCCTCCGCACAGGACCAGATCGGATGTGAGGCCCATCCAAAAGGTTGATTCACGAGCGGCACTTTTGAGGGGTCCCTGGAGAAACCCAACCCTCCCTGAGGTCTGCTGGAGGTGACAGGGTCTGGGCAAGAATCCCTGAGCCCTTGGGGCGGGCACTGGCTGGGCCACATGAGAACCCAGATTCAGAACGAACTGGCTGGCGGGTCTGGCAACCCTGCCAGCCTTAGCTGGGGAGCCCCAGGCCAAGACCCCAGCAGGTTAAAACAGGAGACCTAAGGGGCCATAGCCCCAGTGCATGGGGAAGACTGATAGGTCCAGTGGAACTGGCGGGTCTAATTCAGGCTCCTATTTCTTGACAGAATTCCTACAGAAAAACACTAGTCCACTTCCTGGACAACATGAGGAACTGGTCATCTTCCAAGCTGGCTGACTGAAGAAGTGACTTGCCAGGGCCCTGGGGAGTTTCCACCCTCACAGACAGTCATGTCAGCCTCTCCTTCAACAGTGTTTGACAAAGGCCCCCATCTCTGGTCGCACCCCCGAATGGCGGGAAGAAGGTCCCCTCAGGGGTATGCTGTATGTACACACAGAGAACTGTCACAAATAACAACAAAAACGACTTCACAAGACAGTGTCCATCCTCCCCGAAGTCCTTCTGTCCCAGATTGCGTGCATTCCTGATGGTCCATGCGAAGAGGGCGGCCCAGCCTCACCTAGGACCTGCCCCTTCCCTGTTTTCTTCTCCGTTCAGACCGAGATTGTGCAGGAAGAGCAGGACCTGCCACCACGCGCGATTCCGGTTCTGTTGGTGCTGGAAGGGAAAAAGATCACCTTGACTGCTTAATTATTCCCAGTGAGCGTTCAGACCTCTGGGCCTCAGGGCCAACACTTCAATCCCATCAGTCCAGCAAAGGGTGAGGGTGAGAGACAAGGGAGTAAGGAGATAGCTGGGTTCTCCCCAAACAACTGGCATTCAAAAGACAGGGCCAGGCTCTTCTGCACTATGAGCGCGAGGATTAGACTTTTTCCTCCACTCATAGGATTTTCCAGAGTTTAGCCCAGTGCTGCTTTTAATCAGATTGGCTCCCAAGCCCCCCGGGCCCCAGCTCTATTGCAGGAACAACGAACTTGCCTGGAGAGAAAGAAGTCACCCCCCCTCCCCACTCCAAAGTAACACAGAGAACTTCGGGGAAAGGGGGGGGTGAGCCTCCATCTGCAAGTGATTTGACACTGTGAAGGTCAAAGGGTTAATCTTCAATTTAAACCACACTGCTGAGGCAGCAAAAACCTGATTTCATCCAGTGCAAACTCCCCCTGCCCCGCCCACTCCCCCTTCTCAGCATCTCCAGCTCTGCACTGCCCTTTTTATAGCTGCTCTTGACAGTAAGCCATAAATAACCCCTCTTGGAGGCTTTCCTACTGACTGGAGCCAATTAAATGTTAAGCAAGAACATACTTGAAAACAAAACAAAAACAAAGAATGCACACCATGCTCTCGCTCTGGAGGTTATCCCAGGTTCTACTACAGGCTGGGAAGTGGGGAGCAAAGTTGAGGGGTCAGCTGTTCCCAGGGTACTGGCTGGTGTCCGGCCCACTCCAGGTACCATTTCCCGGGGGTCAGCAGAGGCCCGGAGAGGACAAGGGGGTGCTGAAGAGGCAGTCTTTGTTCTCTCCTTGTCTGCCAGGGGAGGAGGACTGGGCTGGGCCTCCACGGGGCTCTTGGTGGACAGGGGAATAAAAACCCAGTGTGCAGAAAGGGGCCAGCACAGGCCGGACTTGGATTCCTTCAGGGGCCCCGTCAGCAGGCAAGTTTATGTGAAATGCCCTGGGGAGCTGAGGCTCTCTCTTAGTCTTTCATTGTGGCCACTGGCCCCTGCCAGGCAACTCCTAGTCCAACAGACAAAGGATAAAGTCAGTGGGATGACTGGACAGATATGAGCACAGGTCTCCTGGACTCCAGAGCTGCCCAGGTCCATCCAGCCCTTTTCCCAGGAACCACGTGGGCTGCTGGTTTTGCCTTGCCCCATCCTCAGCCACAAAGAGAGAAGCAGTGCCCACCGAGGCTGACCTCAGGGCCCTGCCAACCCAGGTGAGCACACAGTGCCCTGTGCCCAAGGCAACAGGAGAGCTCTTTCCCTGTGGGCAGAAACTAGAAAATAGCTGAGCAGTCTGGAGCCACAGCCCTGCTAGGAGGGCAAGGGAAGTCCGGTGTACAGAGAGGACTGGCCCACAGCGCTGCAGACGGGCTGCGTTCTTGTGTTTTGTAAACAAAGACAAGTAAAAAGAGGAAACATGCCGAGCTTAACAAAATCTGGTTAGAGTAAAGCAGTGTGAAAATGGATTTGGTCTGGAGCAGCTGAGCAGAGGACCCCTCCTCCTACCTCCCCTCCCCAGCTGCTGCCCAGAACAGGTGCAAAGGTCATGTGGTGGAACAGAAGGAGAATGCAGGAAAGGACACACCCCTGCAGAGGCCAGTCTGCAGGCACCCTGACTCCTCAGGTGCCTGCCTGAAAAGGCCAAGTGGCAAGAACACCACCGCCGTAACAGTAACGGCGTGGACTGGAGACCAGATTTAGAGTTAAATCTAAAAATGTTCCCTAGAAGGCTGGCGTGCTCAGAGCTGTGGCTTTTGGAAGGTGATGGGATGGTGGCAGGGTGCCACCTTCATCAGTGGGTTGGTCCAGCGAATACCCCTCTGCCATCCTGGAACCAGCAGACTATGGACTAAAACTGTGAGCCAAAATAAAACCTTCCCTCCTTTAAACTGTGGGTGTCAAGTGTTTTGTCCTAGTGACAAGAAAGTAACCCAGACAGCGCTCTATGCCCTTCCTTCTCAAAGTGCATGGGCCAGCAGCCTGGGTATCACACAGAAGGGCAGCAGAAAGCAGACAGACCAAATCAGATATTCAGGTGTTCCGTGGTGCTGGAGCACATACCTCTAAGTATACACTGTCAACTCCTCTGGTCCTCTTCAACCCAGTGAATTAGACGTATGTCGCCATGCCAGGTACAGATAATCAGTTAGGTAATTTAGCCACCCCCAGCTAGTAAGTGGCAGGGACTGGACTGAACCCAGACCATCTGGCCCTCAAGCAATATCTCTTTCACCTTGCCCAGAGTGACACTATCTGTCTCTCTTTATACCAGAGAGCAGATCCCCCTCCCTTCCCTTCACTGAATCATCACAAACAGCTCAGGGGCTAAGGGAGAGAGATCAAAAGTCTATGCCCTTGCCGAACATGGTGATGCACACCTGTAATCCCAGCACTCAGGAAGCTGAGGCAGGAGGATCGCTGTGAGTTCCAGACCAGCCTGGGCTACATAGTGAGTTCCAGGACAGTCTCAACTACATAGTGAGACCCTGTGTCAAAAAGCAAAAAAAAAAAAAAAGCTACTAGGCCTGGGGCCTGGGCCAACCCCAGCGCTGCACACTTCAGTCTCTCCCAAATCCTACCTGATGCCTGGGTAACTTCTTGGCCCTTGAGGTCTCTGGGGATAAGGCAAGGCAGTGTCTTTATCTGGCATCCTCTGGAGGCAGTGTGGGGGAGCAGAAGTAGCTGTGGCCGGTGAGCGCTACTGGACGAGAAGGTGGGAGGTCTGCAGAGGGCCCAGGCAGGCATGGGTAGTACACAAGCCAGCCTTCAGGAAGGGTCCTGTTCTGACCTCTGCCTATTCCAGTCTCCAGGAATCATGAACTAGAAGAAAGGCACTGCAGGCGGTGGCTGGACTCCCAGGCTAGGAAGAAGAGGCCTGGCTTTAGGATGAGATCTCTTCCTAACCCACTTGTGCACTCACTTGATTTGGAAGGAAAATGCAGGGCCCGTATTTGATCCTCAGTCTCCTAATCTGACTATGTCACAGCCAGCTGAAGAGCTGCTGTCGAGCATCCTCAGCCCCACGCAGGCCAGCAGTCAGATGTTCCCAGAAATCTGTATGTTAGACAAGCTCCCTGGGTCACAGTTTAAAAGTCAGAGGTAACATTTATGGTACGCTATATTTTCATCCTCAAAGCAATATGTGTTAATTATGGAAAAATGGGAAAATTCAAGAAATGAAAGAGGAGAAGATAAAGTCTCTTTATGATCCTACAGCCTGCAAGAGAACACTTCACAGTCTGGTGTCTTCTTCGGTCCCTTTCAACCTCAGTAATGCCCCGCCCCGGGGGCTGGCGCAGAGGTAAATCCTGCCAGGTGGCACCATGGTAGCCAGGCCACAGGCTTCTGGAAACCACTGAAGAGCTTTCAAGCTCCAAGGAGTCTGTTAGCACAACTATTTTCCCCATCACAACACAGAGCACCAGCCATTAGACACTGTCACCCTGCAGTCTCCATGGCACAAGCACAGCCGCACAGACAGCACCTGGGCCTCTCCAGCCATAGGGCAGCCCCCAAAGGAAACCGCACTGCCTCGACCGAGAGGACTGAAGAATGCCCTGATTCCAAAGGATGGCCAGGACATAAAGTACCGTCTAAAAGTTAAACAAAACGGCCTGTCTAAAAGGAAAGGAAAAGAACTCGAAGGGAGGCCAGAGAGAGAAATAGTAAGGAGGAAGGAAACCGGCCTTTACTGAACAGGATGAAGGACACAAAGACACCAAAACACTAGAGAGCTGGGTCCTTCCCGAGGAGGGTGTGGAGGAGAAGGCAGAGGAAGGGGAACCAGGAAGGAGTGTGCCTGGCCTCTGACTCCCGGCCCCTGGCACAGTCTGAGATCAATGAGGGCAAACCCCAGGGGCATGGCACAGCTCTCCCAGACCAGCGTGGGCGCCACTCACAGAATGCAGGGGTGGGGGACCGGGGACAGCAAACGTAAAGTTCACTGTAGAAGCTTCAAATTTACAGCCTAGGACCAAGCCCAGCTTTTTATTAAAGAAGGGAGAATGAGGAGGGAATGGGCCCTAGCACAGAAGGTCAAAGTGCTCTCTTCTGGTTCAAGAGGGTATGAATTGGGGTCTCAGAGAGACTGACAGATATTCCGTGGCTTAGATTCACTTTCCTGCTGGAGCCAGGAGAGGCGGGCAGTGGCGGACATTCAGTTTTATGTCTTGCATAATGAGGACTGTACAGAGCACACACTAGGTGTTTAACAAGTATGTCCTGGAGTGACTACCGATAACCAATTGTCTGAGGCCAAGAACAACTGATATCTAGCCAGGTTGAAAGCTGTCCTTTATGTGACAGCCTAAGCCTCTCAACTAAGAGAGGCCAACTAGTGAAAGGCTTGAAAAAAAATAAACACAAAGCTGGCCACGGTATTGACAAGGTTGGATTACACAAATCAAACTCTGTTTTGTCCCACCCGGCCTCTGTATTCAGCACCAAGTGTGTCCCAGTGCTGCCTGGATAAGAATCTCCCTTGGCCTGGCTCTGTTCAGATGCAGCTCACACTCTCTGGGGGCTCCGTGTTTCGCCAGTGCTCCAGGAGCAGCAGAGCTAAGCCAGAATCAGAGGAGCAAGCAGAACCACACTGCACAGGGCTCCAGAAGGCCCTGACACACCCAGTGCAAAATTACCAGACGGCAATCGATACCATCTCAGATAGAGACAAAGCACTTCCCGATCTTCCCATTTGAAACCCATAAAAACCTGGGGCACAAGAAGAATGGGTATTTTCAATCCCATTTTACAGGTGAGAAGCAAAGGCTTGAAAGAGCCAAGGAGTCAGGGAGGTGATCCAAATCCCTGACTCCCGACTCCAAACTACGTCCTCTCGCTAAAATGTTACAGGGCGTTTCCTTATTATGAAAGCAGTGGGACCTCTGCAAAGAGAATTGCCACAGAGCCGCTACCCTGGTATGTTTAAAGACATTGT